CTGGGATCATGACCTGAGCCGAAGGCAGAGGCTTAACTTAATGGACTGAGCCACCCAGGCACCCCCCTGTCTAACTGTCTTAGTGAAAGCCTAAAGTGACTTCTTTTACACTGAAGGGGAGCAAAATATACCACCCCAAAATATGCCTCTTTGGCACACTGATTATTTTAAGCTGGTTATTTTTAAGAAATAGCAAACACTGGTGAAGCTCTGAAAACTGAGAAGTTAACCTTTTGTATCAAATATTTACATTCATAAGGGAAATCTCCATTTGTCAGAATGTCTCCCTGCTCTAACAGGAAGAGAATATCTAAATCTCTAGAAAGTCTTATTAATGGAGGAAGGCACAGTCTTAAATCTGCATTAACAAGCTTACTGTTGTTTACTGTGCTTTTCCTGGTCACCTCCCATAACTGACTCCCCACCCCCAGCATCTTCTTTTGTCTTTAGCTGAAAGTGGTATTTAAGGTGGTGGCTTCAGCCATTTTAGGGAGTTACTCAGTTTTCCTGGGTCTCTCCCATGGATACAGGAGGTATGCAGGTTATTAAACTATTGTTTTTCTCTTGTTCTGTCTTATGTCAATTTAATTAGACCAGACAAAGAAGCTAGAAGGGCAGAATAAAAATTGTTTTCTCCCCAACAACACCTATAACTCACAGGAGACTTCAGGAGGCACATCCAAATAAGAATAAAAATAACTGGAATATGCATATATCCCCAAAACAACATTTCTAGGCAGGTTGGTCCAGGATAACAGAACAGTTGAATTTAGGAGTCTCTTGCTTAAACTCAATTTCATTTATTTATAATTATTTGAAATAAATGCTCCCCTGAGGCACCTGAACTAAATCTAAGAAGTACAAAGTCAAATTTAAGAGCCTCACAATAGATGCCTTAGTTGATAAAAGTCACGGTTTTTTTTTAAAGATTTTATTTATTTGTCAGAGAGAGAGAAAGTGCGCACAAGCAAGGAGAGCAGCGGCAGAACGCGGCAGAACAGGCAGAGGCAGAGGGAGAAGCAGACTCGCGGCCGAGCAGGGAGCCCGATGCCGGGCTCCATCCCAGAACCCTGGGATCACGACCTAAGCCGAAGGCAGACGAAACGCTTAACTAACTGAGCCACTCAGGCGCCCCAAAAGTCACAGTTTTTAAAGTTGCTTACGTAATGCAGGCCTTTTCCCACATGAATAAAAAAAGGTTTTTTTCTTAAGACTACTAGTAGGTATTTGACGGTATCTTTAAGGAAATTAAGCAAATTAAGTATTAACTTGGGGGGAAAAAACAGCACATTTAAGTAATTTAGTTAAGACTGCCCGTAGGTCTTTAAAATGAAGATTTTAAAAATGAAAATCTTACAAGTTAAAATTATAGACGCTCTATTCTTCTTCATGGGGCATTCATTGCACTCTAGGGCCTTCTTCTCTCAAAGCAACTAAAACATCCTAGACTGGAGCTTATGAAGCAAAACCGAGGATTTGACATCATCATTGCCCTGTACACGGGCAACAGTTGTTCCTCACCCAAGGTTGTAGGGTGTTACAATGGCAGGATGGAAAGACTTGAACGTGGACTCAGAAAGCATCAAGCAGGGTCCTGGTTTTGCTCTTTCCTAGCAGTGTGTCCATGAGCAAGTTTACTTCATCGGGCTCTCAGTCGCCTCATTTGAAAATAGCAACAATAATACCTCCTTCCCCAGGGTCCTCATGAAGATTAAGGATGGCTTATGTGAAGGCACACTGTAAGCTATAAAATATTATACAGTAACTTCAAATCCTTAATGAAAGAAAATGGGGAGGGGCACCTGGGGTGGCTCAGTCGTTAAGCGTCTGCCTTCGGCTCGGGTCATGGTATCCCGGGGTCCTGGTATCCAGCCCTGCATCAGGCTCCACGTCAGAGTCTGCATCTGCGTCTCCTTCTCCCTCTGCCCTCCAGCCCCCACCCCTGTTTGTGCTCTCTCTCTCAAATACATAAATAAAATCTTTAAAAAAAAAAAAGAAAATGGGGGAATAAATGAATGTCTAAGTAGTTGTGAGAGGCTATATAAAAATAGGCATAAGTTCTAGTAAGAACCTTTTAAATGGGGTGTATGGAAAGTTTTTCCATTTGCCCTATAATTATTGACTCCAGAGTATAAAGATGTCCTGTGTACATAAAAATTATAAGCCTTTAGTCGAAGTAATTTAAGAAGGATGGGCCCCACGAAAACCTGTCAGCCACTTTTCACCCATGACTCAATCTGGCTCCTTCATTAAGGCCAGTTTCTAACTACAACTTGGAAGAGTGGCCAGGAGATACTCTCACAAATGCAAATTGTACTTTAAATATTTCGGGACCACTTTTAAAAATCACTAACAGTTTGTCAATATAATCATATTCTTCCCAATCTGCACTTTTTTTTCATCAGCGATCAAAAGTAAAAGGTAGGGCGCCTGGGTGGCTCAGTTGGTTAAGCGACTGCCTTCGGCTCAGGTCATGATCCTGGAGTCCCAGGATCGAGTCCCGCATCGGGCTCCCTG